TTTAAAGACAATTGGCTCAACAGCTCGACGACTCCAAACATGGCGTACTCGGGCATAGAAAAAGAAAATGTGTCTTAACTAAGAACGGGGGATGGGGATGCTGACGCGGGTGCCAACAACGGTAAAGATGAAGCTTTCGCGGATGCCTTATGGTAACAGATATTGTATTCCCCTGGACATTGACATACTGACTTCACATCACCCTTTTTACTCCAGCGGTTTAAACTAACCTCTGACGTACGAGATAAAGTTTAACGATCACGAAAAAGTCGTCAACAGTACAGATACGTCGGCGATGTATTTTATCTCAGATTTGACTCTCGAATACGAAGTGGTGACCAAGAGAGACCTAGCTATCACCGTCAGAAATAAACACCGGGGTTTAACGCAATACCTGTTTAAAATCCACTCGCTGGAAGTAAGATCCGTCAACAAATCGGACACGCTTTGGAATGTCAGTGTCAATCAACCAATCAGGAGTCTCAAGGGTATTTTGTTTTTGTTTAAAGATCCCGCGGTCAAAAATCCACAGCGATTTGACAATCCAAAAATTAACCAAAACATCGGTGACCTTAGAAGGTAAACCAAATCAACTCTACAGTCAAGGCATGTTTCAGTAACAACACTGGAATGAAATTAGCAAGTGCTTTGGAGACAGCGATACCGAAAGCGGGCGCGGAGTAGCTAAAGACTTAAATTTGACGGGTTGTGACCTCGGAGACTACCTAAAAGACAAGTACGGTCTTTGGCTCGATTTTAGAAGTAACGACGACAATTCCGCTCACGGATCCGGTAGCCCTAACTGTTTTTAAAAATAAAACGTACATCGAAAGTAAGTGGGTTCACGCAGATCCCGAGGTATACCTCTGCGATCCAGAATTGTACAAGATGACGCTCAACGAAGCGATCGATATTTACAGGAAAGAATTCGAAGGTGTTGCTACGCTGTTTACCGTTACTCTTCGGATCAACAGATTAAATATCGTAAAAAGACGTGTGCGCTAAGCAAGATGGCGTTTAGCGGAAGACACGTCAATCACAGCTGTTGGTTACTGACCCAAAAGTACAACAGCGTTTTAAAAGATTTTAGAGAAAATACGGCTTTGTTAGCGTTATTTTAGTGCGAAGATAAAACATCGTTTGATCAAGCGTTAGATGAAAATGACGTCGTACCGATTGAAAAACGCGATCATATAAAGCGACGCTTGTGAGACGTCAGGTACAGTAAGTTAGTCTTTTACACGGAACCTCCAGTAAGTTACAAGCTACTGGAGTAGGTGTTTAAAAAAATTGAGGCAAAAAATGCTCTAATAACGTTAAATCGTTATAAGAGCTTTTTGCTTTGAGATTAAAACTTTTGTTTATTGTTTGTTTTATTTTCTTTTATCGTTACAAGTTTTGCAGGCTAACACGCAATTACTTTTAACGTGCCCGATCGAGTTATTTAAACGCTCAATCGTTGCCATATCACCACCATAACGATCGTATTGTAAAACGACTCGGCAATCATCGTAATAACAATGTTTGTAGTCTTCAGTAAGACTTCTTAAAAAGTTAGTATCGATTAAGAGGTCTGGATTAAATAAATTTTGATTTTTATCGTAGCGGCGGCAACTCCTGATCCATCTCGAAATAGTAAAGTCTACAGCCTTACCATCATCACTCTTAATTTCTCGACATTGCCCTTGGATGCGATTGTGCCAACATACACTAGAACCGCCGCAATCTTTACATCTGATATGTTGACGACCGTGTGTACAGATACTAGAACCACCGCAATCTTTACTTCTACACTCAGCGCAGATTTTGTATTTTTCACCGTTTGGTTTGATGCTTAGATGTCACTTTTACAAAACTTACAAACGTTTTGATTGCGAATAATATTTTTGTTTTATTTTAATCCCTACACGCGATACAAGTCTTATAACTTTCACCATTTGATTTCATACCAAGTTGATCAAGCTTGCATGTTTTATGACATTGAACACAAACGTTTAATATTTTCATTGTTTCTATTTATTATATGATAATTTAAAAAAACACATTTTTTTTAGCACCTTAGGTTTTTAAACAAACATAACCTAGCTCGTCAACAAATATGACCTAGCTCGTCAACAAATATGACCTAGCTCGTTAACAAAATACATTTTGCTGTAAGAAAATGATAGCAATATTCGAGTATTTACAATTTCTGGCTATTATAATTATCTTGATTAATTTATCGTTTTACGCCTACGAGTATCTCCGCATCTACAACTTTGTTGCTTCAGCGACACTAAAATTAAACTCCTTTCTAATTAGATGGAGGACCTAAAACTTGCATTAACGAACGAACAAGAACATAAAGATCGTGTTTGCGGTGTCGTAGCAGCCGGAAACTCTAGAAAGTACTTGGGAAAGGAATATACCGTTAAACATATCGAAGCTCTTGACAGTAAAGAAATCGAGAAGCTGTATCATCTGTACGAAACTAAATTTGGAGTTGAAATTGTTCAAACTGTTGGTAAATATACTTTACGTTTATTTTCGAGAGTGTTATCCATTGTTACACCCGTACAAGTTTTAGCTCTAAATAACATGATTTGGCGTAGACGAGACGAAATTTAATACTCCTGATCAAAAAGTATGCTCATTGTTTGAATGTGTTTGGACTAAATTTGAAATTGTTTGACAAAAGACGAAATTAAACAGAAAGTGTACTAAATCGATGTTGCTGGACGAATTGAATATAAGAATCGGTGAATTCGAACGAAAAATGTTTTTATAAAGCACACGCGTATCCACCATTATTGGTGCTCAAGCTGCTACATCGTTATTACCCTGCTTATTACACTAACCATCTCTGCCTTCACAGGTACCCATTTACTCCTGGGTGGAGAAGAAACAATGAGTAACAAAGTGTCGTGCCTAAGGGCACACACACCACAAACCCACTAGGTGAGCCATTGGGTTGAAACTTGGTATGTACCTAAATCGGGATGTGTTATATTCATTGTATATGAAAATTTAAGGGAAGTCATCGTGTGTCATGTGATGTCACGTTGAAGATGTATAATTTGAAGCCCTATGAAAATGGCATCATGTATTATTGTATGACACCACCCTCAATTGTACACATCCCAATATCTAATGCAATGGATGAAACTTGTACTTGTAACTGTACGTGCCAGATATCACCAAAAACAATTGCTGAGACAGCCCTGTGTTAGTTCACTAACATTAGTCTAGTTACGTATCAAATTTTCCATCCCATATTTTGTCGTTATTTTTGTCTCTTCTGGACTTTATTCAGGAAAGAGATTTGGCAATCACTATGTATGTATGTATGTTGGTGTATGTAGTATGTGTGTGGTATTTTGGTTTCGTAAAATTTGTGGCATTTGAAAGGTTGAAGTCCAGTTGGAACCAAACTTGGGTCATAGATGCAACGTGGCAACTTTCACATTATAATGATGTCTAAGGTCACACACACTCGCGGTTCAAGAACCGCCTAGTTTGAGTCAGGCCTTTGCTACCTCAACTCAGGATGCGCCCAAGCATGAAAAAACAGCAAACCTATCAAAGCTTGTAAATTTCACCAGTTCATCAACTGATTTGAGACGGATGCAATGCGTGGCTATGGTGGTCCCGAAAGAACATCTGTTATTTTGGTAGCAATACGCTCCATGGTGCTCCCTACATTTAAATCTTGCGCAATTGTTGTTTCTATTGGAAAGCAAATGATTCTAAGTATCTTGATTTTTTTCAGTGGTTTTATTTCAATTCTCAAGAATGAACTGTCCATGCTCTTCAATCAATCAGATTTTTGGGGGGTTTTCTTAAGACATTTCAATTTGTATGTGTTATTATTTTACTTATTTCTTTATGGGCACCTGCAACGTTCTCTCAAAAAAAGCTGTATTTTACACACAAAATGAATCTGCGTAGCAGTAGATTGGTTCCTAGTCCAGTGGTAATGGGGCACAAAATCAGTGTACCCTGTGAGAAATAACTTGGGCTGCAAATAATAACGATTTTTTTTTCATTCAGTGTCTCATTCAAAACTGGATTACTTTTTCAAATCAAGGGAAGTCTAACTTCACTCACTTGCATTTGCATATTCCCCTTACCGGCAGGTTCCATTCGCTTAGAGTTTATACAACAGCGCCCTCTATAATGCTACCCACATTGCCCTGCGCCACGAGCGCCATGTTGGCTTCCTCTTTTCTCTTAGCGGCGGGACAGATAAGACATGTTTTACAGTACCTCCGATAATTGAGTACTTCGTCTATCTGTATTCCTATTTTCGTCAAGAGTTGTAATAATAAAAGATAAGTAAGACAAAGAACACCTTGTTGTGTTTTGTGTAACAATTCTTCGTGAAGTGAAAGTTAATAAATAAGGAAGAGAAAGTCGCTTCGAAAGGGCGTTGCCCCGAATTCGTCTTCTGTGCGAGGCTCGGCAGACAATGACGTCTCGCCGTCCCGCCAGAGCACGTTAAAGATTTGCCTACCCCGACTGATGCTGATCAGCAGTGGGAACTGAACATAAAAAGGGAACACGGGGCGGCAAGGGTGGTAAGACCAAAGGCAAATCCCAAGCCGCTACCGTCGTTCGTCCCCAGACTGAAGGAGTGACGCACAATAAACGGGGAAACGGTCTGTTGTATAAACTCTTAGCGAATGGAACCTGCCGGTAAGGGGAATATGCAAATGTAGTGGCTCTACAGGTAAGTATCGCTCATAGACTCCCACCACACTTCTGTGGGGGAAAATATCAATTAAATATTCAAATAGCCCAGACATAATTGAATTCATGAATAAAAAACATACAGTTGTCCTTGACAATCTATGAATGACCCTCTTTGGACAGAAATCACCTAGATTGTAGGGATTAGGGCAGCGGTGTTGCATGAATGCATAAATTCTGTCCATACTTACATGGTATGGTAATAGCTCTATTGATTAATATTAATTCAATAGATGTACTTAACCATTTGGTACTTGTTTTGGTTTCCCCAGTTCAAATTTCTCCCAGTTGCACTATTGCCAGCGTTAATGGTAGTAGCTGGTTGTCTGAGAGGAGCAGTGTATGTGAATGTGTTCTACATGATAAGGACGGATAGACGGTTTCCAGATAAAGACAGAGAGATGTCAGCAAATGTTGCCGGCATATTTTTGACAATAGGTATGTATAACATGTATTATTCATTCACAATTAAGGAAACTCAAATGTCAAACACAACTCGTTGTGGTATGTTGTTTGGGAAAGTTTAGTCTTGCCTGGAGGGGCATGTTTGATATTTGTATCGGAATGCTTGGTTTTATCCTCACATGTGTATGCACGTGCCCACAGCCCACAGATACAATGAAACTGCTGACTTTTTTTATCATCATTAGGTCATTTAAAAAAAAGTGACCCCCCCAATAAAAATATGTATGTGGTTCCTTTTGTTAGCGTGGCCATAATTCGGCTATCAATCGTTATTTGACGTTATAGTGAAAGCCTCATGTCAGCCTGTGTGCATCATCAATTTAAATTTCTTTGGTATTAATCATTTGAGTACGTCAACATAATATAGGTTTTCCCAGCTATTTTAACACTTTTATCACACGAATTCCCTATGTCGATACTTTAATTTCGTCCGCGAACATCCCCAAGCTCAATTCTCAATTTGAATTTCAAAAAGCCACCACTAGATTTCATTTAAGGTTCAGTATAATTCAAATTGTTAGCATTCCGATTCGTCCAAAATCTTTGAAAATCGTCTCGTGAAGCAATCGGCGTTGAATTGAAAAAGCAAATTCGTTTTTTGTCATTCGTTTTAATATTCTTGTCGTTACATTTCGTCTGTGGTGACTTAAAACGTTACGATTTAAAATGTGCCCAATCTTTGGCCTTGTTTGCGCATTAATTAAATTTCAATTTTTAACAAATATTTCCTTATAAATGAAAGTATAGCTGTAAGTTTTGAGTTTTCTTTGACAATTAACATTGAAATTAGAAATCGAACTTTCACAATATGCTCTTTGCTTTATAGCATATGGAAATTAAGCATCAAGATCAAACACCTTCGTAATGTTGCTCTTTGATATATGTTTATGTACAAAACAACAGAAATAAGGTATGATGTCTATCAAAGAACAACATTAAGAAGGTCTTTGAACTTAATGCTTAGTGTCCATGTCATAAGTGCATATTGTGAAATGTCAATTCCTGACTCTAATGTTAATTGTGAAACTAAAAATTCATACCTTACAGCTAACTACTTTTGTTTTATAGGGGTACATATAAGGAAATATATGTTGGATTATCATTGTTTTGATACGCATAATTCTTCAAATAAGTCTAAAGATTGGGCGCATTTTCTAATCGTATACGATTTAAGTCACCAGGGACGAAATGTAATGACAACAACATGAAAACGAATGACAAAAAACGAATTTGCTTTGTTCAATTCAACGCCGATTTCTTCACGAGACGAATTTCAAAGATTTTGGACGAATCGGAATGCTAACAATTTGAATTATACTGAACCTTAAATGAAATCTAGTGGCGGCTTTTTGAAATTCAAATTGAGAATTGAGCTTGGCGATGTTCGGGGACGAAATTGAAGTATCGATATAGGGAATTCGTGTGATACAAGTGTAAAAATAACTGGGAAAACCTATATTATGATGTAAGTACTCAGACACGAACAAACATTAACAGTTAAAGGCACTAATTTCCATAAAGACAATATGTGCGACACTTTTAAAAAATTTAAACATAGCAAATCGTTTTCTACGCATTTTTTTTTAACCTAGAGACGTTGATTAGAAATTGATTTCCGGCTTAACTATATACGACGATCCAGGTAGTGAGGCAAAGCATTTGATTTGTTCAAGATTCCTCATGAACGAAGCAACGGTGCAACAATTGTCCACGGAGAACCCAAACATTCCTGGAGCTCGAAAAACGCCCTACCATTTATCACAGAGCTAGGCCCAGCAAAGACATTTACCGGGCAGGACGCTGGCGAGACATGTATTGGCTAATTGTGTCAACTCATATGGGATGATTGCGCCATCAAGCCAAATAGGAATGTACATTTTTCACACGACTGTTTTTTTGTCGCCAATTATTTGAAACAAGCAATTCTGTTGTTTATTATTTCTTATTACAGGATTGTCATTGAGCTGCATCTTACAGACGATTTTATTCAACACTGTACTGTTGCCATATTGATGGAAGAACGCGTTCATCCGACGATTGTTAACACGGAGGATTTTTTTAGAGTGCAATGACTATTGTTTTGAAATTTCGTCACAATTTTCACGAAGGAATGGGCATATCAAAATTGACAATTTGAGTATTTTTTGCCTATTGTGCTTAAAAACATATTTTTTTGTCAGCGTTCTGACAAGTTTCCGTAAGCAAAGGATAATTAATTCCGGAATAACATTAATGACGCCAAAAAAAGGCATCCCGATAATTGCATCTTCACGAAGAGATGCAAACACGCCTGCCCCTTAAAAATGTACAAAAGTTTTGCACGGAAAGGCGTAAAATTAGGTCAACTGAGATTTTCGTTTCTACTAGGTGACGGGCATCTTTACTAATTTATTTTGGCTAATAAACCACTGTGTCAATTAAAATTACTGGGTTTCAATTAAAGTTGACCTATCAAAGAATTATGTCAAGGTTTCGTTATTGATAAAGTTGTTGCAAAGTAGTAGTTTTTGCAGTGTTGAAAACGGAGATACTTTTACACGTAATTTTACGTCAAATGTTACATATCTGTAAAACTAAGTACAGTGATTATGTTTAGAATATTATTGAAATGTAGAAGACTCCGTATTGTTCAAAAACTGTGCAAATGCATTCTCGTTTTTTATTCAACGTTCAGCCAATTTTGCAATGTACATTTTTTGACTTCCGTGCTTGTTGGATTCGAAGTGTATATAAGTGAAACTGTTCATTAAAGCCTGAAATATCTTTGAAACTTCAAACAAACAAAAAGTGGTTTTCAGATCATAAGCGACCGTAAATGACGGCTTTAATCTAAATAAAAAGAAAAATAAATGAAATAAAAATCTTTCCCAATAATTTTTTGTTGTTTGGTAGTCCCGTTTTTTTTTTCAATTGTTTGAATAATTTTAAAAAAAAGTATAAAATGAAATATCTGAAGAATTTTTGTAATACAGTTTAACGAAATTCAGCATTTTTTCAAGTTCAAGTTCATCACCAAGTCTTAACAGTGATTTTTTTTTTGGATACACATCACGAAATTCTTGACGATTCGTTTAAATTAATTCAAGTTCATCACCAAGTCGTAACGGTGATTTTTTTTTAAATTGTATGTGCATTTTTTGAACATTTTTTCATCACAAATTTTTCTCCGATTAGTTTTTTTTTTCAAGTTCAAGTTCATCATCAAGTTTTATCGGTGTTTTTTTAAATTTAAATTGTATGTGCATTTTTTGAATATTTTTTCATCACAAATTTTTCTCCGATTAGTTTTTTTTTCAAGTTCAAGTTCATCATCAAGTTTTATCGGTGTTTTTTAAAATTTAAATTGTATGTGCATTTTTTTAATATTTTTTCATCACAAATTTTTCTCCGATTAGTTTTTTTTTCAAGTTCAAGTTCATCATCAAGTTTTATCGGTGTTTTTTTTTAATTTAAATTGTATGTGCATTTTTTGAATATTTTTTCATCACGAATTTTTCTCCGATTTTTTTTCAAGTTCAAGTTCACCAAGTCTTAACGGTGATTTTTTTTTTAATTGTGCATTTCTGAAGATTTTTTGATACACATCACGAAATTCTTAACGATTTGTTTAAATTTATTCAAGTTCAAGTTCATCACCAAGTCTTAACGGTGATTTTTTATAAAAATTGTATGTGCATTTTTTGAATATTTTTTCATCACGAATTTTTTTCCTATTTTTTTTTTTTTTTGAATTTCTGAAGAAAATTGGAAATTTTAGCGGATTTTTTTGTGTGTAATCCCCTATAGCTGCGGTTGGTTTTAACATAGACTCCTGTTTTCGAGGTTTATGAGGCGTTAAGGTATCACTTCCTAACCGTCGTTATTATAGCGCAATCTCATTGCCTGAACCTCGCACAAGAAACATCCACGCAACGATCCATTTCTGCCTCAATCGTCTCGAATTCTGTCAGATTTAGTTACATTCTTCAAGTCCAGAAAATATTCTCTAAATTTCTGAAGAAAATTCGAAATTTTAGCAGATTTTTTTGTGTTATCCCCCCATAGCTACGGTTGATTTCAGATACACTACTGTTTTCGAGGTGTATGAGGCGTAGGGTATCACATCCTAATACATTCGTTATCACAGCGCATTCTCATTACCTGCTCCTCACACAAGAAACATCCAAGCAACTTACCCATTTCTGCCTCAATCGTCTCGAATTCTGTCAGATTAAGCTACATTCTTCAAGTCCAGAAAATATTCTCTAAAATTTCTGAAGAAAATTCGAAATTTTAGCAGATTTTTTTGTGTTATCCCCCCATAGCTACGGTTGATTTCAGGTACACTACTGTTTTCGAGGTGTATGAGGCGTAGGGTATCACATCCTAACCATCGTTATTATAGCGCAATCTCATTGCCTGAACCTCGCACAAGAAACATCCACGCAACGATCCATTTCTGCCTCAATCGTCTCGAATTCTGTCAGATTTAGTTACATTCTTCAAGTCCAGAAAATATTCTCTAAATTTCTGAAGAAAATTCGAAATTTTAGCAGATTTTTTTGTGTTATCCCCCCATAGCTACGGTTGATTTCAGATACACTACTGTTTTCGAGGTGTATGAGGCGTAGGGTATCACATCCTAATACATTCGTTATCACAGCGCATTCTCATTACCTGCTCCTCACACAAGAAACATCCAAGCAACTTACCCATTTCTGCCTCAATCGTCTCGAATTCTGTCAGATTAAGCTACATTCTTCAAGTCCAGAAAATATTCTCTAAAATTTCTGAAGAAAATTCGAAATTTTAGCAGATTTTTTGTGTTATCCCCCCATAGCTACGGTTGATTTCAGGTACACTACTGTTTTCGAGGTGTATGAGGCGTAGGGTATCACATCCTAACCATCGTTATCACAGCGCATTCTCATAACCTGCTCCTCACACAAGAAACATCCAAGCAACTTGCCCATTTCTGCCTCAATCGTCTCGAATTGTCAGATTTGGTTACATTCTTCAAGTTCAAGTTCAGAAAATATTCTCTAAAATTTCTGAAGAAAATTCGAAATTTTAGCAGATTTTTTTGTGTTATCCCCCCATAGCTACGGTTGATTTCAGGTACACTACTGTTTTCGAGGTGTATGAGGCGTAGGGTATCACATCCTAACCATCGTTATCACAGCGCATTCTCATAACCTGCTCCTCACACAAGAAACATCCAAGCAACTTGCCCATTTCTGCCTCAATCGTCTCGAATTGTCAGATTTGGTTACATTCTTCAAGTTCAAGTTCAGAAAATATTCTCTAAAATTTCTGAAGAAAATTCGAAATTTTAGCAGATTTTTTTGTGTTATCCCCCCCCCATAGCTACGGTTGATTTCAGGTACACTACTGTTTTCGAGGTGTATGAGGCGTAGGGTATCACATCCTAACCATCGTTATCACAGCGCATTCTCATAACCTGCTCCTCACACAAGAAACATCCAAGCAACTTGCCCATTTCTGCCTCAATCGTCTCGAATTCTGTCAGATTTGGTTACATTCTTCAAGTTCAAGTTCAGAAAATATTCTCTAAAATTTCTGAAGAAAATTCGAAATTTTAGCAGATTTTTTTGTGTTATCCCCCCCCCCCATAGCTACGGTTGATTTCAGATACACTACTGTTTTCGAGGTGTATGAGGCGTAGGGTATCACATCCTAACCATCGTTATCACAGCGCATTCTCATAACCTGCTCCTCACACAAGAAACATCCCAGCAACTTGCCCATTTCTGCCTCAATCGTCTCGAATTCTGTCAGATTTGGTTACATTCTTCAAGTTCAAGTTCAGAAAATATTCTCTAAAATTTCTGAAGAAAATTCGAAATTTTAGCAGATTTTTTTGTGTTATACCCTACAGCTACGGTTGATTTTACACTCAAGGAAACAAGAAACGCACCACATAAAAATTCTCATATTTTTAGGAAGTAGGACCGGTGTCATATGAAAATCGGACTCTTTTTCCCTTTAATTGTTTAAACGCTCTCACGTGATCGGTCCCCTCCTAATTATCTATGCATGAGCATGCGCAATACCACCAATGAGTCCGTATTTCATAAAACCTATATAAATGGTGCATGTTCTAGATTTTGAGCATTTTAGAGATAAACGTCAATGTGTTGAGTGATTTGGGGGAGTGCCAAAAACTGTGTTTTTATGCTAATGGCTACACGTGAGTGACTCCCAGATATGCGTTTGACCATTAATGTCCTGAACACAACCCTTGCCTATAAAAAGACACCAAAATGACACCAAAAACACTTGTATCCATGATGCCACGACTGTCACAACCTGAAAGAGACCGAGCCATTGGCATCCTCCAAACCGGAAGGAACCGACGGGCTGTTCGGGGTCCAGGCTGTTCGGGGTCCACCACTCAACGATTGTGCGTCTTGAACAGCGCTACACAACCGGCACCTCCGCAGATCGTCCCCGAGCTGGCAGGCCGCGGGTCACGACCGCTGCACTAGACCGTGCCAACCGGCTGTCCCGTCTCCGTGACAGGTTCCGGCACTCTACACGCACTACACGCACTGCTGCTGAGACCATCACCGCGTTCCCACTTGATTTGGAAAAAGGTGGATCAAGATCCGGCAAGTCGCGTTCCCACTTATGCTTGATCCACCTTTTCGTACGGAAATGTTGGGTCCGAGAGGTCACTGAGTTCGGAATTACGCGCGCTCTGTGGGAGTGCCATTGTTGCATGGTTGCATGCTAGGCCAGGATGGGTCAGTTTTCAAACAGCACTATCAGAATTCACAGACAATCCTGCGTGCATAAATTAAAAGGTGAAATCCGACAGAGCCGCTCACGTGTGACATCACGGCAGAAACCAATGCATCGATAAGGGATTCCCTGGTTCTGAAGCTTCTCATTGGTTAGAAACGGTCACATGATACACTACGACATCATTTTCCAATTTTCTATAATCAATACTTCAGATTTGTAACCTCCGTGCGTACCGCGTTATGCACTATTCTCATCGCATACTCGTAAGCTTTTCCATGATTCTGTGCCAAAGTGAAGTCTTTTCGTGAGTGCGGACTCAGAGTCATTTATGGATGGAAAAATAAGTAAAATTTCAGGAATGAAAAAGGTTTAGTAATGGACGAACACGCAACAAAAATAAGGCCTATAGTGTAGTTTTAGGATACCACGTGCCCTTTTGCATGCGCGGTGCTAGCCCGTAGTTCAGTGGTTGTTTATTGTGCATGTTGTAAACGCTGGAAATGTTCACATGAGCTACACGCCTGAAAACGTGTTTCTTCGTTCATGAGACCGCAACATTTTCGCGCCACTCGTGCACCGGGCGGATGTTAACAGGTCAAATTGCCGGATCAGATCCACCTTTTGCGTTCCCATCTGATCGTGATCCGGCAATTGCCGGATCTGATCCACCAATTGGGGGATCTGTATCCTGGTCCAGAGGTGGATCAGAAAAGGTGGATCTGATCCTGATCCACCTTATAACGGTTAGCGTTCCCACTACACACAATTGCCGGATCTGATCCACCAATTGGGGGATCTGATCCGGCAATTTGGCAAAAGGTGGATCAGATCCCCCAATTGGTGGATCAAGTGGGAACGGGGTCCATGAAGACACACCACAGGCAAGTGAGTGCAAGAACCATCATGAATCGTCTCCGGGCTGATTGGATCAGACCATATCGACCGGGCTCTGTGCTGACACGCCGACATCACACCGACGCTGGACATTGCAGAGATGGTCGCAGGTAGTCTTCAGTGACGAGAAGAGGTTCCAGTGCTTCAGGGCCGATGGCAGGGAGCGGGTGTACAGGAGACGCAGTGAGCGGTACGCTGACACTTGTGTTCGCGAAGTCAACTGCTGGGGTGGC